TACAGTAGTCCAGGCGGGAGGTAACGAGGGCATGAGTGACCGTGCGCAGGGCGTCCCGGTCCAGAAAAGGCCGCAACTGGTGGATCAGGCGTACCCGATAAAACGCCCCCCTGGTCACGGCCGACAATTGATCTTCCAGCGTCAGCCGCGAATCCAGGAGGACCCCCAGATTGCGCACCCTCTCCGAGGGGGCCAAAATGTTATTCTGTTATTCTTTAATTTTGCTGATGCCCTTGCATTTAATAAATGTTGATTTAGGAATTATGTTAAGTTACAAGAATAGATAATTTTTCTGCTAAAGTAGCTCATAGACTTACAACCATATAGGACTCAAAGATGAACATTCAAGGTGGAGAGGTCCTGAGTTCAGAATGATATATACTTTTTAAATACTTCAGAAGTTTAATTGGACCTTTACTTTCCAGTGACTTGCAATCATGGAAATGGAGGCTGCCAGCACAGTTGTGAAGATGCAGAAGATGGGCCTGTCTGTGGATGTCATCCAGAGTACACAGTGCATGCCAATGGAAAAACATGTATTGGTATCTCACTTCTTTTCTGCTACATTATGTGTAGACAAGTTGTAAATAAATACGTAACAGTTTCTGAATGTTTCCTCTCAGTAAAAATATAGATTTCTTTACAGTTTGCTTAAAAATTGCAGAAAATCCAGGTTTGCTTATGAATGAGAAATGTGTTGGATTGAGGTTAGTCACATAACAGCACATGCACATAACAATGGGCTATGATGATGGTCCTGACTAATTAAAATACAAACTTCCATTAAAACAGCTGTACCCAACCTTTCTGGCTCAGTGGTGGCAGCAGCAGGCAGGGGGAGGAGAGGGGCGGGGCTGCTTTCGTGCATACAACCTAATCCCACACATGAACAAATGAAGCTTTGTATGTTCGCCCGCTGGTTGTGTGGTCTGGTTCCCAATGGGCTGTTAACTGGTACCAGTCCATGGCCCGGGGGTTGGGCACCTGAATTAAAATATTCACTTTTAAAATATTAGAGTATCTATTGTATATTCTACTAAAACTCTTATGTCTGTAGCCTTTAATTGGGCAAAATGGTGCATTGTAAGGTAACAATTTTTGAACCAAGGTACCTCAAATGGGCTAACTTATCAATCCATCCAAAATCCAGGGAAATGAAATTTGGAGAAAGTTATGAAATATTTTATGAAATAGAAACCATCATGAAACATGTTGTGACATAATACAAAATGTCATAAACATTCTCCATGGTCAACTTCTAGTGTTTGGCTATGCTATAAAATTCAACTTGGGTTACTTTCAAAGCAGCTACATTTCTGAATATCTCCCTGGAATTTTAAGAACTTTTCCAGTACTTTAGAAGCTCCACTATGGTTGAAAACATTAGAAATGTCATCCTGAATTCTCTTGTCACAACGGTAGAATAAACGTAACTAATATGATTAATAAACTAGGCATTATATATTAGGAATTATATACTGTGTTTCGGCCAAAGATTAGGATGGGGTAAATATTAATTATTTATACTGTAATGCTGTTAACATGATATGTTCTTCAAACATAAATAGTGAATTTGAACCTTGGTGCCTTCACTTGAAGAATTGATAATAGCAATAGCATTTAGGCTTATATACCACTCCATAGCACTTTACAGCACTCTCTGGGTGGTTTACAATGTAAAAGCTTTATTTGCATATTGCCGCCAATAATCTGGGTCCTCATTTTACCAACCTTGGAAGGATGGAAGGCTGAGTCAATCTTGAACCCTGTCATAATCGAACTCAAGTCTGTGGGCAGAGTTTGACTGCAATATGCCCTTTAACCACTGGGCCACCAGGGCTCCTTAAAGCTTAAATACTTAAATTGATTAAAATATCAACATATCAAGAAATCCTCTGTTTGGCCATTATACCATAAATTCATAGAATTTAAAAGTTGGTAGTGATCCTAGAGATCACCTTGTCCAATCACTGCCCAGTGCAGGGATCCAGTAATGTGGCATCCCTAAGAGATGGTTGTCCAGCCTACTGCTGATGAATTCTACAAATAATCAGGCATTGTATCAGGTACTTTATGTAAATTAAACTTGTTGCTTATTTTCTAGACTATAATAGCTGTATGATAAAGGAGATCATCAGTCTTATAAGAGCAGCAGGGGGATTCTAAAAATAGTTGGAAAGAATAATCTGAAAATTTGGGCATGAAAGAACACCAATTTTTTATGGCAGAGAGAAAATAAAACAAGATTGTCAAAGAAGCTGCTCTAAGAAAATATATTTTATAAGCAAAGGGAAACTCGTTATCCCTTAGGAAGGTCTTTGAGTTAAAAAGATATTTACTAGAAAAACACATTCTAGAGATAAAACTGAGCCAGAACAAAACTTATTTTCTACAATCCTTCATTTTTGATGATAATTTCTTTTCTTTTATATAGCGTGTATCAAATAGATATATATGAGCTGGATCACACAGGATTACTTAAATATGGTTTACTTATATCACAACCGGCAGGGTTTACACAGTAGGCTAAGCTATATAGCATGGTTTACAAATCACAAAGGTTGGGTTAAAACAACATGCCAAGTCAAAACCAGGTAAACATGGTCTATTGTGGAGTATAAACCCAAAGGGGGTTAACCTATAATTCAAGCAAAGATAAAGTCTGTCATATGACAGAAAGTGATGAAAATCCCTTTGAAGTTACCAGATAATCTGGTAGATAATTATTTTCTCAACCAAAATGTATTTTCTAGAACATCAGTTTTTACTCTATGCCTGACCATTTGATACTTTTTTTTTAATTTTCCATACCAAGAAAGAATAGAAGCGACCACAGAAATCTCTGAAAACAATGTTACGGCAGGAGCTGATGCAGATAAACGAGTGAAGCGGCGACTGCTTATGGGTAAAGAGATGTTCAGGTCTGATAATTGTTTGTAAGAGATTTCCAAGCTTTGCTGTATGAATAACACGAATAACAATAATTGCTGTAATTACTTTATAGAAACTGAAAATACTTATTCCACCTAATGAAATTAGTGCAATTTCTATATGTTTTCAGTTCAGTGCGGTTAGGCACCAATTGTCCTTGCCACTGCAGAACTTCTCAAGTTCTCTGTTTTTGCCAGTTGTCATGTAATATATTCAGAAAAACTTTTTCATAGAGATACAATGCTATTGTGCTAATTACAGTTGCAGTTTCTCTTTCAAATATGTAGAAGTGTGTAGAGCTAATTCATATTTCTGGAAAAAGGCAATAAACGGTTTTTTAGTTAAACTTTATTAAATTTCTCAAAGAATGAAATTAAGAAAAGAAAAAATGGGAACGAAAAATAAGGAGAGGCAAAGTGCAAGGGATAAATGGAAAAGAGAGAAAGAAAATAAAAAGAGTAATTTCTTATTTTCTTTGATACAATTACAAATATTTTTTTATATTTTCTTCTTTGTAGAAATTTAATAAAATGTCATTTTAAAAAGCAACAAATTATGAAGGATGTTGCAGGAGAAAATTAGTCAGTCAAAATTACTTGATTGTTCCTCATAGTATATAGATATTATCTATATAATTTTCTAAGATTAGATGGGATAATATCTACATTGAATGAGGAACAATCAATATCTACATGCAACGAGGAACACTTGCTGCAGATGAAATCCCAGGATGCCCCAACAAACAAACTGACATGTGGGAAATATATGGACACTTCAGTGAAAAACAGCAGCTTGGGAATGTACTGTAGCTATTGTGGGAAGGTTGAATTCTATGTAAAGAAATCATTGAAGGAAGAACTGAAAATTGCCTACAATAAATTTTTCATTTAACAAGGAAAAGGATGCCCATTAGACCTGAATATCCATTAAATTGGTGATTAGGATGTTATATATATAATAAAAGAATCCTAGTGGTGCATCAGTGAAATTTTATACATATCTAAAATGGCAACCAGATGTCTGTTGCATCCAAAATTTAGTAAACAGAAGCCAGGAAATTGTGAGCTTACTGTGTTGCTTTTAAATGCCTTTATAAATCCATATGATGAAATTAGAGTACTATGTATCATTTTGGTTGGTATAATGTTATCAGAGGCAATATGCTTCTAAATACCAACCATTGAATATCAGTTGCTATGGAATACAGATGGGAAAAGTTAGTCATGTCCAGTTTGTGGAATAGAAACTTAGACCTGATCCAGTACAGATTTTCTCAGATTCCTAAGGAAACCAAACTGAATACTTATCTGTGGGTAATTCTACTTATAGTTAACCTATCTTGATTTTTTTCCCATGTTTAAAGCTGAAGTTATCTGTTGCACAAACGTCTCTGAAGTTCTTGATGCTCTTTGAACTTGGTTTAGAGATCACCAAGAAGTCTAAGATACTCTCTGAAAAAAGTCTTGGATATGCTTGTTTAACATTAGAATTTGATCAGAATTCATTCTGTTGAATAAATAAAATATCTCATTTCAAATTGTGTTCTATTTTTTTCCCCTGCAAATGCCAAATTGTGTTCCTTTTCCTTAGAAACTTGTGCAGTAAATAATGGTGGCTGTGATCGGACTTGTAAGGACACTTCAACAGGCGTCCACTGCAGTTGTCCTATTGGCTTTACTCTTCAGCTTGATGGGAAGACATGCAAAGGTAAAGTTCAGTATTCCTGGCAATGTGCAAGCTAAATATCTACAGAAGATTCTTGCCAAAAATCCCAGAAAAGTGTAATTTTGCTAAGCCAGTAAAAAAAGAAAATCTGAAATAGGAAAGCAGTATACAAGGCATTGCTTTGATTGTTCCTTTGCTGAAATATGTATGTGAAAAGTTCAATTTGTTTTTTGTATTCAGTTCAAGGTTATCATTTCTGTCCTGTACAATGTACAGTGCTAATACAACTCTAGAGCTTAGAGGCGAGAATTTCTGTATGTATCAGACAGAGTCATTTGATTATGTAGGCACAGGACTCTTGTTCATGTTGCAATGTTTGCAAAAGAGATGGTTAAACAGCAACATTATCTTCCCATAGGAAGCAAAATGCCTGTGAATCTGCAAAGGTTATATTTTGTCCTGAAACTACTCAGTATTCTGATTGTTTTATGTCTGTCTGTCTGTCTGTCTGTCTGTCTGTCTGTCTGTCTGTCTGTCTGTCTGTCTGTCTGTCTGTCTGTCTGTCTGTCCGTCCGTCCGTCCGTCCGTTCATCCATCCATCCATCCATACACACACACACACACACACACACACACACAGAAAGAGAGAAAATGAGAATTGTCTATCTCAATTGAAGGGGAAGTTGACTCTGTTTCTCTAAGAGCGAATGCATGGTAGTATGACATAATACCTATTGCAATAGGGTTTCTCCAAAAGCTGTAATGTGAGTTAAACTTACAGAGCAAGTATACCAATTCAAATTTTGTTATAGTCAACAAAATTAATCTGTAATAAGCATTCTTAAACAAACAATAATAAAATAGTAATATACAAAGGGAAGAAGCATTTGAAAGCACGATTGACTCAATTGTTTATGATGAAAGTTTAAAAGAATACAGGTAGTCCTCATTGAACAACCATTCAAAGTTACAATGGCACTGAGGGGGACTTTCTCATAGTTGCTGCTGAGGCAGTGTCCCTATGGTTACATGGTTGTGATGCAGGTGTTCGGCAACTGTCTTGCACTTAACAGTAACCTGCATTTATGTGATCACCATTTGCAACCTTCACTGCAAGCTTCTGACAAGCAAAATCAATG